GAACGAAAGCAATTTTCTATTGGCGCAGTCAACACATCACCATACACTGTAATATGGTTTGATTCCAATTAGTGTCATTTAAAAATCACATAGTGTAGGTCCAGACATACATTATGGTTTAATCCTAGCATTCCTTTCACATTGATTCTTCTCCCTTTTTCTTTTTACTACAAGACAAACATTTTTTTGACATATAGCACTGCAGGGACTGTCTGTAGTTACATTTAAATTAGCTCCCATTAGGCAAAGCTTCCACAAATTAATATTAATTTGTATAATATTTATTGAAATACACTAATGCTAATGAAGGAAGGAAAGTAAACAAGAGCGTGAGATTTTAAACTGGTATCAGTTTTTCCAGATGCAAACTACCCAGTCCCCCCACAACACCCTTCTCACATTAGAAGTGCTAATTTTTTTCTTTCCATCTTCTATCCTAGCAAGTCATTGTGTGATAGCTAGTAGGCACCATGTATTTAAAGCTCCTTTATGAAAGAATTTCACAGCCCCATAGGTATCAGTAAATACAATCTTGGGCAATTAATTTTACAGTCTACATTGTAAACATAATAGGATTATATTGTGCAGGTTAATATTCCCTGCAGACCATCAATCATTTTGATTATGTAGTTCTACAAGTATTATTTTTTCTGGAGCAGCTTAGTCTATTTTGATATCTCTAGTTAATATAGAAATAAGTCTATTACTGAATGTTAGGCCTGATATTTCCATAGAACCAAAAGCACATATCTTGGAGTATAGATGCAAATATCTGCAAGTTAGTGATAATAGAGGGGTGGTTTTTTTCAGTTTTGATCTTAGGCAAACAGACTATTAGAAAGAAAGAGGAGAAAGTAAATAGGTGGCAAGGAGAGAGAAAAATTGGGTCCAGGATAGTAAGTCTTATATATGTATACTTATTGTATAGTAGATTTGTTTTTTGGAACAAAGTACATAGATATAGATTTGCTTATGGCACTCTTAAATGTACAGATGCAAATACATTTTTCCATAAATTCTTAATTTAATCTTAACTAAACTTTATTCTATTATTCAAAACCACATTGGGTTAGCTTTGACTATTGGACTGTCCTAAGTGTCTTAGGTCCATAATCTCTTCTGCTACCTATTCCAGGGCTTTTCCTAATAAAGACATATCAAAGGTACTGTTCAAACACCTGTCATTTGCTGCCACTTACTGGCCATGGAACAAAGTACACAGGAACTTAACCACTGCAGTTGAATTGCTTTTCTAATTGCTTGACGGATACTGACTTTTTTTCTAGCCTCCATATTACCTCCATATTACCTTTAGTATAAAGACTGCTAAATGACACAACGACTTTCACTTCCTACAGCACCTTATAATTTTGTCAAAAACACCTAGCCTTTTATGGAAAACTTGGAATTTGAAATGAATGTCAAAAAATCAGTGCATTTCAGTGTGTGGTACAGAAATTTAGTACTTGAATGCATAATTCACAGGCCTATCAAAGGTAATTATAAAATGCATTTATTAATATTAAGTGACTAAATCTAGGCTAAATTCAGACAATGCTACACTACAAAATTGGATTTTTTAAAAATTGCGATACATTTCATTGGTCTAATTAAAGTTATTTAAGCCAAGATATCTTTAGCCAAATCTAAGAAGCTTTCTATTGATGGAGACAAGGTGAACTCACAAATGTAAAAGTCGGAAAGATCACAACTAAATGAAGCTGACGTTTTATTTCTTCCAGCTAAAGTGACTGCAATAATACTAACACCCTTATTATTGAAATTATACAGTAGGATAAACGTTCCATGATGAATGGTTGCCAAAAATATGACAAATTTACATTCTCATGTAAGTACAAACTACTTTTGTACTGATGTAAATGGGCCTGTTTCCAAATGTTAATTTTTAAAAAAGCATTTTATATATGGCTGTTTCAGAAATTCTTCAAATACCTATTATTTTTTTATTATTTATTAGAAAAAAAATTACCTATTTTTTTCCAAAAGCAAGAAAATTTAGCAAAAGCGTAATTCCGTTGCAGAAGTCAATGACTAAAATCCTAATTAGGTTTTTTTTGTGGGGGGGGGATCATATTCCTCAAATGTTTTTTCTTGATTCTTAGCTTTTGCTTTCTGTAACTTAATTTAAATGGAGAGTTGGTCAACAAATACATAACAATGAGCTTTTTAAATGTTTTCTATTTGAGGATAATAGATTTACACTTTGCTTTTCTGGCAACAGGCTTTGGAAAAAAACACCTTGTAAACCAAATATAAGGTTAAAGGTAAATGTTTCCCTCGCACATATGTTCTAGTCGTTCCTGACTCTAGAGGTCGGTGCTCATCTCTGTTTCAAAGCCAAAGGACCAGCACTGTCCGAAGACGTCTCCGTGGTCATGACTCATGAGGCTGGCATGACTAAATGCTGAAGGTGCATAGAACACTGTTACCTTCCCACCAAAGGTGGTCCCTATTTTTCTACTTGCATTTTTACATGCTTTCGAACTGCTGGGTTGGCAGAAGCTGGGACAAATAATGGGAGCTCACTCCGTTATGCAGCGCTAGGGATTTGAACCGCCGAACTGCTGACCTTTCTGATCGACAAGCTCCATGTTTTAGCCACTAAGCCATGGAATTGGTAGCTTTTGTCTTACAAAATATACTTTAGTCCCACTGCACTCCAATCTGATTAATTCCCAATAGCCATATGTAGCATAAAATATACAGAAATCTTTGTTAGAAAAAGACTTTATTTCCAAATAGTTGTTTTAATTACAAAGTAATGTGTTTTTCATCCTATCTGTTTTTTCCTTTTGCATTAAGATGCTTGAGGAAATGTACTTTCTCCAGAATACAGAATATCTTCTGGAGGATTCTCTCCAGAACATCTCCGGATGAAAATGTTACTATTACTCTGACTCAGCTAAGAGAAGGAGATTTAATAGATTCCTGATGTTTCTGGTGATAAATTTGTTTTTCAGAAGGCAGAAGAAGAAACATGAAAATCATCTATCTTGGATGCAATCCCAGCCAAGAGAACTGATTTCAAAGTTTAGTCATATATCTTAGACTAAAAATGGGCAGTTTAAAGAATACAGGCAAAAAAGCCAGCATACCCTAGATCAGGGGTGTCAAACTCGATTTCATTGAGAGCCGCATCAGGGTTGTGTTTCAAAGCCCAACCTCGGGGAGGTTGGGAGGCGTGACCAGGGTGGGCATGGCCAGCTCAA